AATAATGGATCGCGTATAAAATTCATCAAAACTCTCATTATCCTTTTGTTTTCTATCACGAATAAGTTCCATTATATCACTATCAGTAAGATGATCTTGAAAATGAAATCGTAAAGCCTCACACAAAGCTGACCATGTCACTCTAGCAACGGACTGCGTATATCTCCAATACCAATCAAGACATCTACCAGTAAAGAGAATGTGTAATGTGCTCACAAAGACTTTCAAAATCTCCTCCTAAACTACTGTTTGTTTAGAGATGTTACTATATAAATAAATTTATCTACCGACATCTTTGTCGAACATCCGCTAAAAGATATGTTCCAACTCTGAATAAGTTGAGCTATCGTCCACTATTATGAACTATAGAAGAAGTTGTGGAAATACGTTGAAAGTTGTTAGGAGCTGGATAACTAGGATGAAAACTTTGTGTACGATGAACACTGGTAGGTATTGTCTCAGAACGACGATCATTCGCAGGCAAACTTTCTGAATTTTGTACCCTAGGTTCACTGCGTAAAGCAGGAAATTCTTCCCTTGGCCATTCCGGTTCTGTGGTCTTGGTATAGCTAATTGTGAAATTTGTGAAGTTAAATCTCTTAAGGCATTTTGAATATTAGAAAACTCTGAATTAAACTTAGTTTCGAGGCCAGAAATTCTTAAATTTAAGTCCTCATGAAGAGCTTGAGACGATTGTCCGTTTGAATTATCGGAACTACCAGTAGCTATAGGTAATGAAGCACGAGCAGATTGGTTTGAACATTAAGTGTCCAATCTAGAGGATTTGAACTCTCTTAGAAGATCTAGTAGCTCTTCTAGATTGTAATAACCTGGGAACTGCACCTCTAGAGTTTTGTTGTTGACTCAAATCTATATCTAATTCACTTCTTACATTAATTAAACTATCTTCCCTACATGACTGTCGACATTGTGGACAAGTCGGTGAAGTTGTTATCCATTCAGTTAAACAAGTCTTATGAAAATAATGTTGGCAAACTGTTCTAACTATATCCGATGCATTATTTAATGAACTGCAACATACGGAACAATCTCCTAAATTCCCTATCGAAGGCAAATTATCTCCGCTATGTCTTACCGCCATTTTCAAATTAATTTATAAGTTAACAATTAGTTAGAAATCAAAAAAAAATACGAAAACAAATTTTACAAAATGAAATAAATTCATTATTAAATTCGACTTAATTTACCAGTTGATCGTCAATTGAAATTTTACAAAAGTTTATCTATTATATATTATCTTATTAAAGGTTCGTATTCCTAGTAAGATTTCCGCTTTTGAAAACCTGGTCTAGTTAAACGGACGAAAGACTAACAAACTAAATCAGTCTTTGTAACTCCAGAAAACAAACTAAGCACTCAATAGAAAAACCTCAAAGAAACCGAAGGGAATTTACAAAAACAAACTACTTGCAGAAGTATATATTAACTCTGAACGTAATGTCTATCAAACGGTCTAAATAATAGCCTAGCAATTATAATAGCAATTCCAGAAAGAAAACATCATATTCTAGTAAATATATACAACGAGATTTTTTTTTTTTGCGTGGGACTCAAAGCAAGATTAAAACGCTTTTAATGTTACATCCAATCATTTAAATCAGATAGCTGGCGTGGGCCCCACGTTGGGCGCCATTTGTTACGGCCACCTAGCTGTCTACTGAATGTCGGGATTGTCCTCGGCACGTACTGGTTAGGGTCTAGCTCGTCGGCAACCGGGGTGGGTCTGTACAATCCCTAATTCACAGCCGTAAACAAAATATTACGTGCCTATCAAAACATTGAACTCTAAACCAACAACAATTAACTATTATAAGCTACATACCCCTATACTGAAACTAAAGAGATAGATAAACTGATGACCAGGGGCCAGATGTTGTACTCCCCGTTTTAAATGTTTGCCCTCCCAACCTTAGATTCTCTCATCCGATAAATACTTGTAGCGAATCCCCAAAACCAACCACGATCAACTGTTTAAGTCGAAATTACAAAAACTTAATTGTCCATATTCACAACAATAACAACATTTACTTTATTTGAATATTAATATTTGAGCTTTCAAGAAAACAAAAAGCAAACGAATATTCATAACAAAGTTATGACGTCACTAACATAACATTATTTCTTCTTTTTACTTAAGAACTATAAGAGAACTATGTTCATTTAACATAGGATTAGCATCGTATTAAATTTAATAAAACGTTATGACTATTTAAGAATTAACATAGGGGTTTAAATATAAGTAAGAAGAGTAGGGTAGTCCCGATTTATATAAGTTTAACAAAAAAAAAAAAAAAAAATCTGATGGTGTTATGAAATTTCAATAAAATTTAATTTTTTTTTTTTTTTTTTTTTTTAAGGGAATTTATAAATATAAACCAATATTTAAGAGTTAAGAAAATAATAAAAAAACATAAATTTACATAACTTAAGTACTTACTCACTTTTCCTTCAGCTGGCCAGTCCTCCGGATTGTGGTGTTAAAATGTAGACGAAGTGCAATGATAATTTTCTTGGCTCTAGATATTATTTTATAAATATAAATTCCACAGTAGGTTTCAAACTAAAATTCGATTTTCTTCACCCAACTCTTTTTACTTTTACAATATTGGTGAAATTATCAATTTTGATATTAGCAGGGTTTTGAACTTCTTTTTAATATGTTTCATTTAGTGACCGATTTCGAAGGCAAGACTTTGATGAAGTTTGGGAATTTTAAAGCTTATAAAAAGACAGCATCCTCCATACAATTAAGTTTATTCAGAAATCTTCCTAGCAGAATCCACGTGGTGGGAAAAGGTCCTTAAAGTATTATTTTGGTTGGATGTTTGGAATTAATTTAGTACAAACATCCAACAACAACATACAAAAATGTCGAAGTTCCTACATTTCATAGAAAATTATCAGGAAAATGTATCAAAAACAAAGGCATTGTACTTACTGTCTGATCTTCGAAAGATTTGAGGAAGGTAATACTTTCTAATTTTAAGTATTCACAAATTTAATTGATTATATAATTCAACACGTTTTTTTTTTTTATTGTCTTCTGTTTTACTAATAGCGGAATTGTAATGTTCTTATTTAATGTTCACGAGGAATTAAATTTTATGGAAAATTTTGAATGTTAATAAGGTCGAATAAAACAATGAAAAAAAACAATATTAAAGGCAATAAAAATATAAGTAGAGGTGCAAGCAGAAAATAAACAAATTGAGTAAAATACTCATTCTCTAGAGCCTAATTTGCATATCACTCATATTCGTACGTTACATAGGTACATAAATATATCGAAGTCGCAAACCTTTTATCTAACAGTATTCGCTGTAAGATTAGCAGTGATGTTAATATACATATATATATATATATATATATATATATATAATTATATACAGCTCTCTTTACAATTGAACAGTGGTCAAAGCAAACAAATTTTCATATAAATATGATAATCAGTTCGCAACCGTAACAAACTTTAAATTCTTCTTGGATTCTGCTTTTTTCCGCAGCTCTCAGTTCTTTTAATTCTTCATTATTTTTTGTTGATTTAGTAAGATTCTCTGGCACACTTCTATATTTGAGGTCGTATGCTATGTGTAAAAAGTAATCCAAAAATCGTATTCTGGCATGAAGTGGTGAAATTCCGAAAGACAGGACTTCTTCATTAATACTTCTGCTTTTGTTTATATTTGAGAATTGCGACTTTTTTCTCATTACATATTGAGCATCTCCAGAAGGAAGAAGTTTCTGTTATGGCATTGCTGACCTTTCCATCAATCATTGTTCAGCTTAGCTGATATGATACGTTAATAGAGAATTCCTTTATTTTTATACAAATGGGCTCCAGTGCATTTATTTCATCTTTTAAATATTCCACTAAATCTTTTGTTGTTTTCTTTGACTCCTTTATATATTCAAATCCAATGGGTCTACAAAAATTTTTTGAACCCGGAGTTGTATTGATCCATATATCTTCAAATGAATTTCCGATGCTTGACGATGATGGATTAAGGGAATATGAACGAATTCGTAATGGCACTAATGATGACATAAATACACTTTTGTAGTCTGCTAATGTCCGACTTCCACAAGCTTGTTTGTATTAAACCGTCACATCCCCACTTACACATTAAGACAACATCACAGTTATGAATTTTCCTTAGTTGGTCTTCTGAAAAGTCTGACACAATTCTTGATGCTGTGTTTTCGAGCAAAGATGATATATCAATACAAGCTTCCACATCATTAACAGCAATAGGTGATGGTAGGATAGTTTGTTTTTTTTCCTGGATCGCCTTGTATGATGGTAATATATTGTGTCCTTTTCATGCAGAGCTTTCCTTAATATTTGGTACTTATTTCAACTGAGACCCAGTTCCAACATAAGCGCTATTGCTTCCTCTTCAGTAAAATTTGATTGTTATGTTGGAGTTGGTATACTTTCCACAATTCGCTTAAGTCGTTTTGGTGATGCATTAGGAAGAATAGTTGCATTATGTACGACATCCATAGGTTGGTTTTCCTTTTTCAGCATTTCGTTAAATGTATCAGCAATTTCCTCATTTGAGATTGAAAAAAGTTTTTGTGTAACCCTCTTTTTTTTGACCTTGAACATAAGTCTTCGTATGACTTGCAAGGCGCTCCTGTTGATGTATTGTAAGTTGAGATTTCCGTAGTAGTTTCCATCCAACTACAAAATTTTAATCGAAATATCTTTTGATTTCCATCCACAGACTTACTTTTTACATCAAAAAGTTTTCAATTTTGATATGCCTGTTTTGTCTACTTTTCTACTATATGTAGATTTTATATAATTTGAAATGTCTTCAGTTCTTTCTGGCCCTTTTGAAGATACACTCCATAAAACGGAACACAACTCTTCGTACTTTAATGTAATCTTCATTGTAGATTTATTAAATATGGTACTTAAAATCTAAGAAGTTTACTTATATACCAATTCTTGTCATTTCCGATACAGGTATTCCAAAGTAAAAAATTACGAATTGTCTACCTATTAACATTTAGGACTATATTACTATAACCTGTGATTCAGTCATTGATATTTCTTATTAGTGAATGAATCGAAATTATCATTACCTGTATATTTTTACCTACATGATCATAAACGAAACAGAACGAAATGATCTGTCGAAAAAACATAGGTAAAAAATAGTTATAAATTTTTGAAAATTTAAGCATAATAGGACCTTTCAATTATAAGGATAAGCAAACAAATAGAAAATAGGTAACTATAAGATTTAAATATGTTCTGTCATACTTAATACTAAAATATGAAAAAGATGAAATTAAAGGACACAGGTTTAAATGAACATATTTTTGAATGTAATTGAGATATTGGCTTGAAATTTTTTGTAAAGGGTCGAGAATTTCCATATCTAACTAAAAAATGATATTAAGGGATAAATATGGACTAAATTGTTGTAGCTATCTGCGACCCTATTAAAATTTTGATATAAATCATAGTTTTAGAAATTAAACAAATATGTAATATATGACAAAATCTTTATTTATGAACAAAACTCAATGAAATTTTCAACGCTTGTTAAATTTGTCATTTCAAATAAGAAAATGCAAAAAAATTGAAAAGGTCAAAGGGCATCCCGCAATTCCCAGAAATAGGAATGAAAATCCCAAAAATGGGATTTTTTTACTTTTTTGCCCATAGGGTCCACATTTCTTTCAGGGCTAGGAAAATACTTTTGGAGTAAATAGAAAACATATTGAGGTTTCCAAAACTGCTTTCAGTTTTCTGATCCCAGCTTTGGGATTTTAGAACATGTCGCCCAAAAATGAAGTTTTGATAAAAAATAGGTCATATTCGGAAGGACGCAGTGGCAACATTTTCAAAAAATAGGACAAGTTTTTTACGCCAAAGCGTTCTACGTAAAGATACCTTTTAGAAAACTATAAAATTGTTATATGTTCTTAAAGAAAATTTTACTTTATTAATAAAAGAGTTAAGACACATTTTTGGCAAAAATCTAAAATTTTTTGAATTTTAAAATTAAAAAACGTATATCTGTAAATCTGTATATGATATTGATCTGAAATTTTTTGTATATTATT